GAGCACCATCGGGTGCCCCTTGACACTCAGCTCTGCATCCCGGCGGTGGGCTTCCTTCCCCACAAAGCTCTTGGAGCAGAGGGCTCGGGGCCGGCGGCAGAGGGAGCTCGGTGCACGGCGTGGGACCCACTGCAGCCCAGGGACTGCGGCGCTGCTTCCCTTCTACTCGGTCACCATTAAAGCTCATTAGAAAGATGACTGCCTGCGGGACCGACTCATGGTTTGTGTGCTGTGGGGGGATCTGCACTGGGGTGTAGCAGGGCCTGGGGGCTCAGAGCAGCCCCCTGATCCAGCCCAGGCTCCTTCCCTCCGCCTGCAGCACAAGAAGCACAAAAGAGCCGCCGCTCTCACTCAGCCCTTCCCTTGGAGCACTCCCTGCACATCTTGCAGTGGCTCTGGGTCTTCTGCTTGTGCCCCTGTGTCAGGCTGCTTGGGAACAAGGTGAGGGTTTGGCAGCCCCATGGGGTAGGGAGGCTCGTCTGAGCCTTTGGCTCCCTGGCCTTGGGTTCCTGGGTTTTAAGATTTGGCCGCCTCCGGCCTGGCTGGGTCTTAAGGATTTCTATATGTGAAAAATGCAAAGTCCCGCTTCAGGCCAACTTCGTGAGAGCCCAGGCAGCCTTTGCGTGGCTGTCTGCCTGTCAGCCCCACTGGCAGTACTGCCCCTGTGGGAGGGCGGCCTGGGGCTCCCGGAGCAGGGCGGGGGGCAAGTCGAGTGGTTTTGGCTGCTGTGGTTTGTGCCGGGGGGAATGCTGGCCATATCCCCACCTTGCTCTCAAGTCAAGCGGAGTTGACTTGAGGCGGGAGGTGCTGGGGTGGGTCTGAGCCTGGCTGGTGGGAGCGATGGGTAGGAGGGAGGATGGCAGTGCCTGGGCTGGGTGGAATTGTTGTGTTTATCCCATTCAAGCCCACTCCAGGGTCAAAGCAGAGGCCGGAGCTACCCTGATCCTGTGGAGCCACCAGTGCTGGCTGGAGCCTGGAAATTGCAGAGGCTCCGCTTTCTGTGCTGCAGGAAGGGCCAGGCATGAGGGCTTTTCAGCTCCCGCAGCTGGGCACAGGGACACTTGTCAAAGCACGTCCTTCACGGGTCATCCCCCTGCCCAGCGGGGACGGGACGGGGGCTCTGTCCTCCCATGGTGCCACAGGGGACATTCCCCATTCCCGTGCACCACCGCTGCGGCGTGCCAGGGCTGGGCTCTGCTGTAGCACCTGGGTTTGGGGTTGCTTTAATGCCTGCGCCGGGGCAGGAGAAGGCTTGGTGTTCCGCAGGAGGGGAGGATGACCCATGCAAGAGGCAGGAGCACCGAGCAGCCCCGGGGCTCTGCAGACATGGGGTGGAGGTGAGTGCGGAAGGGACCCCGTTATTGGGAAGCTGCTGCTCTTGGGGGCTGGGTGTGCTGGGAGGGGGTGTCAGGGGTTTCTGCTCCCTCCCGGTCCCCAGCTGGGCTCTGGTTGCTGAGTGGGCTCTGCTCCCTCCCTGCTGAGCCCCTGGGCTGGACTCAGCCTCTTCTCCCAGCTCCAGCTCCCGCCTCGTCCTCTCGCTGTCCCCAGCCTCAGCTGAAATAAGAGTGGAGAAGAAAGAGCTGTTGGCTTGGAAATGCTGCTGTGAGCGGGGCTGTCATCCCCCCTGCGAGGGCTGGGAGCCCCTGCAGAAGGGTGAGGCTGGTTTGATCTCAGCAG